CTCATGAGTAAAATCAGGATTATTGGGTAAACGTTTCCTTTTACACTGAAAACGGATAAATCACCCAAAATATAATCTAGGCTGTCACACGTATTACTCAAATAGATTGTAAGAAACTAGTTTAAACTCAGACTGCCATCATGATTGCATGGCAGCTTACTGAAAACCTATTGCATGTGACGCTTATAAAATACGGCCAGCAATAAGGGCCGTATGCAGAAGCCTGGAGGGTCATCAACGTAATAGTGGAGCAGGAGGACCAGAAAAGAGCCGCACACAGACGGCAGCTCTGAACAGAAGCGGACCGGCATGGCAAATAAACAGGAAATACATTTGAAGGACGGACGGAGATTCTGATCACCTACATCTGTAACACTGTGTTCTGTGGAAAGATGGTCTCCCTATGGATTTTATTAATCTAAACTATTTCTAATACAACTGCCGAATGGATCAGCTTCAGATGATAACTGAAAATAAGCCTTAAAGGGCCAGTGTGAGGGATTTCAGGGATCTATAAGCAGAAATGGAATATTCATAACTATGTTTTCATTAGTGTGTCATCCCGTGAAACTAAGAACTGTTGTGTTTCATATCGACATAGGAAGCGGGCCCTCTTCACAGAGTCCGCCATGTTGCACCACCATGTTCCTACAGAAGCCCTGAATGGACAAACCAAACACTGGCTCTAAAGAGCCATTCACATTTTAACGTTAACCTGAAGGCCACCGATGTTCACAGACACGCTTGTGAAACGTGAGCTGCAGAGTGTGAAGCCCTGGTGCTGCCAGGCTCCGTCTGACTGCGGCTGCTCCTAAAGTAGTCTTATTATGGTATGGATGGCCTCCGAGCAGAGGAACGGCGTTGGCATGTCGTTTTGCACTCGGTGGCTCACGTTACCACAGTCTTGGAAAGGCAGGAGTGAACGAAGGGGTATTCAGTTGGTTGCAATCTCAACCACACGGCTAAACAGTCCTTTAATTAAAAGACTATAAAAGCAAAAGGAAGCCACTTCAACAGAGGGCAGTGTGATCCTCAGAGCCTGAAACTGAGTCACGGTGGAATCACCAACAGAAAAAAACGAGCTGTACAATAAACGGGACGGTTCATTTTTAAACCAGAGAATTCTTAGAATATAAGAAAGATCACCACAGCGCTGGTAGTTCCAGGGAGACTAACATAGATTAGTTACAGTACTCAGCAGCACACAGTCAAGTGCTGAAGTGAAACTTCTCCAAGTGCAGTCAAGAACAGTTTCATATGAGAGTTTCATTGGCAAAGTGTTTCAAAGTAGTTGAATGTGGATTCACGCAGAAGAGAGGAACAAATAGAACAAATAGCGCTGGACTGACCGAGGTGTCATGTCGGCATGTTCAGTGTTGCTTTGGGGTTTGAACACTTGTTACTTTTCTTTCAACACCACAGCTCCACATACAATCCCTCTTTTTCTTTTGTATTAACTTATTGTGTTGTTCTAAAGAGGACAAGGCGGGACAGACTCACCACACCAAACCAGCTGACGGCTTTGTGAAACATCTCGTGATTAGTCTGGTGTAAGTAAACTGAGCAAGGAAAAGGAAAAGCAAATAAAAACCGCTACGGTTGAGGCCATAAGGCTTGAACGGGTGATATTTGTGTGGCTGGTGGAGTAAAACAGCTCCTGCTTCACCGATGCAGAACACAGAGCTTTAACCTTTTCCTCGGGTGAAATAGAGGTAGAAATGGCCGACACAAAAACAGCCAAAAAGGGGACTGAGGTCTGTCATTCGTTGCTCTATGCCTTCACTTCACCAGGACACAAGCTTTATTTTCAGAAGCGATGGGAACAGAGACGGAACCCAGTAACCAGAAAGGGAGGGTTGGAGGGGGACGGAGAAGAACTAGAGTGCTTTACATTACAGAGTGGGGGGGGGGGGGGGGGTCTCACCTCCCCCACTCAGCCAACAGGAAGCGAGCCAGCAGGATAATCAATAACAGCGACTGCTCCCTACACAGCACGCTCATGAGCCAACAGAACGATGACCCTCCCCAGTAAACCTTCAACCCCTACCCACCCCCACCCCCGCCCAGTCCGCCCAGCATGTCCGTATCATTTGATTCCAAAATGTACACATATTATACAGTTTGAGTCCTCTGTTCTGCACATTGAACATTGACCTGTGGATTCATGTGGACGGCAGAATTGTCCTCCTTCAGACAGCACCAGTGCAAACACAACAGAGTGTCCTGATGCTCCTACAGGTCCGAGTCGCAGCACGTCATTTTGTGGCTTCGGATCCGGTGCATGCCCTTTCCCCGACCTGCTGCTCTGTTGTCGCCCGTTGTCTGAAGCAAACGGTTGCGTGCGCACAAACATGCGCGAGGTAAACCGGTGCCATTCTCTCTCCCACCGTCTGTGAAGTCCTACCCGGCGTGCAGCCGTAATTGCAGCTACGCAGCAGAAATTAAATACCGATTCGCCCAGCGCCATGTGAGGTGCGGTAAAAAGCAGCAGCTTCACTAACAACAGTCTGACGGCGGAAAAAAAAGGAAGTGTTACAGAGGAGTTTGTTAAATAAGCACTCCGTGACCTCTCTGTTGAATATTTAGAAGACAGACAGGTTGATACACCAAAACGGATCTCTAATGTAGTGCTGGGCGGTATACCGGTTTTAATTTCTCGTATGATATACATTTTTCACACACCGTCATACCGGTGCACAGCCGAAACAACTGCTGTCGCTCTTCAACAGGCAGCAGAATATATTGTTGGCCGCTGAGCGTGCTGCGGTCGGAGCTAGTTGTCTTAAGTGTATTGAGAGGGACCTCTAGTCATGGTTATCACTTTATAACAACCCACAACTAACACTCTTTAACAGCAAAACACCACGACACTACAGTTTGTGACACATTAACAATTTGTAACACTAATAATTGTACATTTATAAAATTACACCGCCGAACTGCATGCTGGGTACAGCTCGCTCGCTAGCTAGCCCGCTAGCACAACAGTCTGCTAACAGCTGGGAGAGGCTCCGTCTCTCCATTAGCGTTACATTAAAGAACAGAGCGATGCAGGATGAACAAAGACAGACCGGAGATGCACCGATAGAGTCTGTGCCCAAGAGAGGAGCTGGGTCTGCTGTTGTAGCCGCTGGTGGTAACACGAGCAACTTACTCCATCACCTCAGCAGAAAACGTGTTGATGACGGCCGTCAACCAGTAACGTTAAGCGCGAGTGAAAAGCAAGCGGAGGAGCGACATTACGAACGCAACAAGGATCCACCGATGCAAGGACATGGTCCTACAGACAGTCGAGAAAGACTGGTTCAGAGCAATGATTAAAACACTGGATTCAACGTACATCTGACCGGGGCGACAATACGAACAAACGAGCACACCCTCTAGTAAGCAAAGCCTTTATACATGATGACATTAAAATGTTTTTATATTCTATGTACTCCTGACAGTAGAGGAAGCCACTATAAACCTATATAAAAAATACCGTGATATACCGTGAAAGCGCCAGAATCTTAAAAAAATACCGTGATACACATTTCTGGTCATACCGTGTAATGGGAAATTATGTTATAGTATAGATCGTAATACAGATATCTTGACCACGTATATAAGTTAGGTTATGTTATAGTATCATGTGTAATGTTTAAAGAATGTACTACTCGATGTGAGGAAGTCAGGAGATGATTATAATTAGTTTAGTATCCAGGTGTCTTGTTATCTGTTATCTTGTACACTGTTTCTTTGTTGGTCAGACGGAGACACAGAAAGACCTTGACTAACGGACATCCTTTGTCTGAAATACTTTTACTCCCCTTTTGACGCATTATCTAAAGTTGTAAAGGCGTGAACTTTTGTATGCATAAATGATGTTGAATATTGCACTTCAAAGGTTTCACGCAGTCTACTGAATACATAGTTGCTGTGCTTTCTTCCCTCTTGCGCAAGAGAATAAACGGAAAAAGACAACTTTGAATCTTCTGATGACTTCATTATTGATTGGAGAACAAAACCTCTCTCCTCCCGATTAACCTAGAAATTTTCCACCACAACCGCCCAGTACTACTCTAATGTTACATTGATGTCCAGATAGAGTGAACTCCATTCCAGGAAAAAAGGTATTCAGATGTGTTCAGATTAGTTCCCAGGCCTTCTACCAACTGTCAATAAATACAGGTTACATATCGGGCTTCACACAGTGCGGTCCTGGTGTTCACATTCTGAACTGGGAATATGCATCCTGCCCGAGCCACGGCCCCGTGTAACGGTTCTGTTATCCTGTTGCACACTAAAGTTCAACGAATGGTTTTCAGAGGGGGGAGTCATGTCGGAGGCTGTGTGTCACTGGCAATCAACACAGAGAGGTGTCAGGAGATGAGCATCTGTTGGCCCTGTGTTTGTGACTACAACACTAGGAGACCTGACAGCACATTAAAGCAATTAAAGAAAGAAAAAAGTAGATCAGAAAATGCTAAAGATGAATGGTTTGTTGAGGAACAGGTTAAATACACTGAATGCAAAAACAGGGGACTGATGGTGGGTGTGTGTGTGTGTGTGTGTGTGTGGGGGGGGGGGGGAAATAAAGGGAAGCAGGAAGGAGAGACGGGGCCAAAAAGGGGAAACTCTGGCATGGAACAAACAGTCATGCCAAACTCCCTTGAGTGGCAGTGGCACGTGAGGGAAACCCTCATCTCGTGCAGTTGCTGTAAAATGAGCAAGCCTTTCCCTAAAATCCACCCTCTTTCCCTCACATTATCCAGCCACATAGGAAACAGCATCCCGTGATCTGAAGCCACATTGTCAGCTAGCACTGGATACTGTAAGCAAAAGTCTGGAACTTTCCGTGCCCACTTCTCCATCTACTGTCACAGAAAAGTGAAGACGTGTTTCTCAACTTAAACCGGTGAAGTGTCACTTCAGAACAGACGTCTGTGAGTTAAGGACCATATCTCATTTGCGTTAATCAACAACCTGACTGAGCTAAAAAAAAAAAATCCTAATCTCACCTGTGGCCTCCTCGTCTTCCTCCTTCAGCGCATTGTTGTCGTCCACATCCTCCTCCTCGCTCCCCTTTCTGGCTCCGTCCTTCACTGGGACCACGGTGAAGCTGGTGGGCATTTTTTACAACATGTGCTTCCCCTCAATGTCTCCTGTTTGCCACACTCTTATCTCTTTCTGCTCTCTCTTCCCTCTCTGTTCTGCTGCTGCTCCTCCTCCCTCTTCTCTCCGTCCAACAGCTGTGACTCCTCTCTTCTCCTTCCCAGTCGGTTGTTTTTTCCCATCTAGACTCGCTGCCCTGGTGTACTTTACTCTCCCTCTCGGGTCTTTCTGAGTTTTTGTTTTCTATTGCTGGGATTCTGCTGTACACCCATGTGACCCCCGACCAACCCCCCCGTCCACCCTCCACACACACACACACACACACACACACACACACACACACACACACAC